GGGGGACGACGACAGGTGTCTGTGCTAGTGGCGGCTTAGATTTATTCTACTCACTTCCTTTCCCCATATTTCCTCCCTCATGCACACCAGGCTGTGAATAAGACCATGCCAGACGACAACATTCACAGAGGGACGATGACATGGGCGGTAGGCGGTACTCAGAACCACCTGCACTACCACAACGTGAGTTACCAAGTTACGAAGTTACGAGCAGGGCAGTGAACAAGACGATGCCAGACGGCAACATTCACAGAGGGGATGATGACATGGGGGACACCCAGAACCATCTGCAGATTCTGCACTACGACAATGTAAGCCAGGACGCTGCTGTGCAGATATGCACATCAGGGTAGTTAACAAGACCATGCCAGGTGGAGTTTATGAACCGCCCACCCGGTTCTGTGTCACACTCAATCAGAGCAAGCGGAGTACCGCCTTATGGCCCCAATGCCACTGGCGGTTCATGAACCCGGGTGGTCAGCACAAGCACGGTACCGCTGCCTGCCCAAGGCCCATGCTTTTGGGGCCCATGTCCTGGTCCGGGTCACACATAATTGGCTTTTGAGTTGACTCAAAAGTCTTCTTGCTTCGCTACAAAGCTTGGGCCAGGCCCGGTCCGGGTCACGCACGATTGATCTGTTGCTGCTGACTTGTGCCCAAGGCCTGCCTCCCAGACTCTCTCATCTCCTCTCTTTTGGCCCCTTTCCTCTGTGTGTCTGTGTGTGTACGTTTCTCGCCTGCTCCCTCCCAGGTATACGGCATGCTCATGGCTCGAGCGACCAGCGAGGGTCTCGAGAAGGCCCTCCCCGACAAGCGGCCGTTTGTGCTGACCCGGGCGGGGTTTATCGGCAGCCAGCGCTACGCTGCCTCGTGGACTGGCGACAACCTGGCTACATGGGAGTACCTCCACATGAGCGTGCCCATGGCGCTTAACATGGTATGGTGTGGTGCGGTGCAGTACGGTTGGGGAAGTGTAGAGTTGGTTTATCGGCAGCCAGCGTTATGTTGCGTCGTGGACGGGGGACAACCTGGCCACCTGGGAGTACCTTCACATGAGCGTGCCCATGGCTCTTAACATGGTATGGTGTATATTGTGATTGTGATATGGCACGGTGCAGTACGGTTGGGGAGGTGTAGAGGTGGTTCATGGGCAGGCAGCCAGCGCTATGCTGCGTCGTGGACGGGCGACTACCTGGCGACCTGGGAGTACCTGCACATGAGCGTGCCCATGGCTCTTAACATGGTGGAGCTCACAAGCATTTTTAGATAGGGGAAAAAAAAACACACACACACACACACACACACACAAACGGTGAGCACAACACCAAGAGAGATGGTGGTCGCTCTTGTGAGTTTTTCCAGGCCATTTTCAAGCCTCATAGGTTCCCACTAGCATATCCCCTCCCCGTGAGGGAACTTAAAATGCTTGAAGATGGCGTGGAAAAACTCGCTCGATCGACCACCATCTCTCTTTGTGTTGTGCTCACCGTTTTTTTTTTTTTTTTTTTTTTTTTTTTTTTCTGTCAATAGAAAGCTAAAAACTCCACCTGCCTGCTGACCTTCTTCGGCATGGGAATATTCGTGTCAGGTATCGTGTACACATGTTGCTCCAATTTGTGACGTTCCATGATCCACCTTCGACGGGTCTTTCTTGGAGTGTCATATCCTACACTCCCCGTTGATATGCTGAAACAAGAAAATATAAATTGTTTTCTGGTTCCGGGTTCACTTTCGATGAATGACCCCTGACTGTGGAAGCAATGGTAAGGAACAGTAAGACAGAGGGTTGAGTGGGAGCAAGTAAGCCGCAAGGATTTGAGTGGTTGTAAATTTGCAACAAATGGTCAAGAGAATCACATTGTGCCAAAGGGGGGAAAATTGCACTGTTAATGGGCTTTTATAAATTACCAGTTATCATGGCTATTGGGAACTCAAACAATACAAGTTGCAGCAAACGAAAAAAAACAGCAACTGTCACCTAGTAAAACAGGAATTTAATTTGAAAGACATCCTCACCTTCTGGCTCTTTTTGTTGCTGTTACTCCAGCTTCTCTTCCCGATGTTTCTTACCTTGTTGTTTCTTTTCCTTCTTCTTCCCGGCCTGGTTCTTCTTGCCATGTACCTCTCCCCTCACCACCATGTACCTCTCCCCTCACCACCATGTACCTCTCCCCACCCAACTCCCACTTCCCATTTCCAACCTTTCCCCCTGCTTGGTTCCTCCTTTCCCCGCTTTTCCCTTTCTCCCCCCAGGCTCTGAACGGCCAGCCTCTGAACGGGCCAGATTTTGGCGGATTGCTCTGAACGCCACTCCACAGCTGTTGGCTCGGTGGATGGGCATCAGAGCTCCGCTCCGCTGCCCTTCTCACCACTACGCACCTTTCCCCACTCCCCAATCATCCCTTGTTCAGGCTCTGAGCAGCCAGCCTCTGAACGGGCCTGACATTGGAGTCTTTGCACTAAACGCCACTCCGCGCCGCGCCTGTTCGCTCGGTGAATGGGCATCAGTGCTCTGCTGCCCTCCTCACCACTATGTACGCGTACCCGTCCTTCCCCGCTCCCGACTTCCCTTCTTTTCCAGGCTCTGAGCGGGCAGACTCTGACCGGGCCCGACATCGGTGGGTTCGCTCTGAACGCCACTCCGCGCCTGTTTGCTTGGTGGATGGGCACCGGTGTTCTGCTGCCCTTCTCACCCCCATATACCTCTCTCCCCCCCCCACTTACTTCCTTTTCAGGCTCTGAGCGGGCAGCCTCTGAACGGGCCTGACATCGGAGGCTTTGCACTCAATGCTACTCCACGCCTGTTTGCACGGTGGATGGGCATTGGTGCTCTGCTGCCCTTTTCCCGTGGGCATTCGGAGAAAGGGACCAAGGACGCCGAACCATGGGTGTTTGGGGAAGCGGTGAGTGAGAGGAATGGGAGGATGGAGAGAGGGATGGGGATGGGAAAGCAGATTACTTTTGAGTCGACTCAAAAGTCACCTGAGAGGAATGGGAGGATGGATGGAGGGATGGGGATGGGAAAGCAGATTACTTTTGAGTCGACTCAAAAGTCACCTGAGAGGAATGGGAGGATGGAGGGAGGGATGGGGATGGGAAAGCAGATTTTTGCAAATGGGGTGTGGTGGGATGCGATTTGGATTTTTTCCTGCCCTTGAAGGGCACTCAGTGAAAGGGAACAAGGACGACGCTGAACCATGGGTATTTGGGGAACTGATTAGAACAATGGGAGGGAAGGGGGGGATGGGGATGGGAGGGCAGATGTTTTGCAAATGGGCTGTAATGGCCTGGGTATTGAGAATTTTTTTCCTTATTCCCGCGGGCACTTAGAGAAAGGAACATAGGACGCTGAACCATGGGTGTTTGGAGAAGCTTTGGGAGCAAAAGGAAGTGGGCTTGATTGCTGGAGGTGACTTTTGAGACGTCTCAAAAGGAACATAGGACGCTGAACCATGGGTGTTTGGAGAAGCTTTGGGAGCAAAAGGAAGTGGGCTCGATTGCTGGAGGTGGGGCATGCATGGTCGGTGGATCGTTATTGCATTGCGCTGTGGCAAGCAAGCACAGCGTGCGCCAAGAAATGAACGAGCTGCGTTCGAAAAGAAAATCCGAATGCACACACCGTGGGTGACCGACAACGCTTGCCACTTGCTGGACAAACCAGTAGCTTCAATTTCTCCTTTCTTTCTTCCTTTCTCCTCCCTCTCTCCCACACGAATTCCTCACCAGTGTGAGGGATAGTGTGTCGGTAAGGCCATATAAGCGTCGCTACGCCTACCCGCCTGCTGCCGCACCCTCCACTCTACCGCTCCTTCGAATCATCATGACAACCTCCGGCAGCCCCTGTCATCTCGCCCCCTTTGCTTTCACGTGTGTGTCTGGTTTGCCCAGTCCCCAGTATTACGAGAGACTTACTGTCAATTATACTGCCTGCCTGCTATACACGCCTCGCTGCCGCACCGCCACACGCTCTTCTATCCTCATGACAACACCGGCAAGCCCTGTGTCATCTCAACACTCGCCTATTGCTGGTACGGTGTTTTAGCACAGCCCATATGAGAACTACTGTCACCCACCCATCACCCATGGCTGCCCGCACCTCTACAACCCTCTTCTACCATCACGACAAGGTCCGGCAGCCATGGCATCTCGCCCCCTTGCTTTCGCTGGTGCGTCTATTTTTCCCGGTCGGTCCGTGTAATCCTGTACTGCCTGAGTCATCATGACCATACCGCCTGCCTGTTGCCGCACCGCACCACTACACCTCCTCTAAACCCACCTCGATCAGTCTGCTGGGCCTGTCATCTCGGCCCTTGCCATTGCCTCGCCATTGATCAGTCAGCTGGTGCGTCTGTTTAGCACTGCGAGGCGAGAAACTGTTTTGTACGACGCAGGCGGAAGCTGTCGTAGGCCTGTTTCTTCTGCTCACCTTCCAATCGTCTTACTTGGATGCGGCTTCAAAATGCATGTTCCCTGCCTGTCTCTGTCCCCATGTGCGCCCCTCTCTCCGCTCAGACCCCTCCAACCCCAGCTCTGCTGCGGGCAGTGGAAGATCCGTTCTTGCTGGGCCCGCTGCGCGCCCTGACTGCTGATACCGTTCATTTTGGATGAGGCTGCACGCGAATTAGCATCTCTACTGCATGCCTGTACCCCCCTGTGCGCCCTCGCCTCCCATCAGACCCATCCAACCCAGCACTGCGGGCAGTGGAAGACCGGTTCCTGCTGGGCCCTCTGCTCGTCATGACATTGTGAGACCTCTCTCCAACCCCCCTTTTTTGCGCTCGCCCACTTCCCTTTCTGCGCTTCCCCAGCCCCCAGCTCCCCCAGCCGCAAGCACACAGATACCACACACACAATTATCGGAACACACCAAAGCGCACAAAATCCACGAAACTCACGTTTGCACGAGCGCAGAAAATGCAAATGCATACAAACGAAAAAACTTCACTCATTTAGCCCTCTGAAGCTCTCTGTCTCACCATCGCAGCACCACGCACCACTACTCTCATGCACCACCCACACCATCTCTTGGTCCATACACTAGTTACTCACCCACACTCTCACTCACTCACCCGCTCCACTCACTCGCTCACGCTCACTCGCTCACGCACTCCCTTCAACCACCTCCTCCCTTCCCTCCCTCCCTCAGCACAGAGCGCAGCAAGTTTTGCCGACCCGTCCAGCCGCCAATCAGAGGCTGCCACCTGGCACATGGAGGCGCTTCCATTTCCACGATTCCGACCGGGTAGGCCCAGCACCCACCAATCACCGATTGCCAGCAAGAGATGCCTCTGGCAAATGTCCAGAACCTCTTGTTCGAAAGGTTTTATTGAAAGGAATTTAAGGACCCTTCGGTTTTTAGATTTCTCAAAAACACCCTGCATCTCAACCAAAGGTTCCTTTAGGGGGGGCCTTTGAATAGTGCAGCAAGGAGGGAATACTCAGAAGCTTCTAGGAGTCACACTGCTAATTATCTCTCCCGTCTGTGCTCCCCACACCTCTTTGCACCGCAACAACTCCCACAGGACCTCCCGCTTCTCTTCTTGCAAAGAGGTGCCATTTTATTCACGTGGCCTGTCGCCCAGAATACTCAGGAGCTGTGCCAGGCTCGGTGACACTGCTTCCCATCCCTCTCTCTCTTATCTCATCTTCTTGTCGCACCCTCTCCGTCTGTCACGTCAACTACAGGACCTCCCGCTGCTCTTCTTGCAAGGAGGTGCCATCTTACCCACAGGAAACCGTTCAGAATACTCAGAAAAGAGCTTTGTAGGCAAGTCCCTGTCACACTGCTAATCATCCCCCCCTTCCTGCCCCCACACCGCTCTGCACCGCAACAATTCCCACAGGACCTCCCGCTGCTCTTCTTGCAAGGAGGCACCATCTTGCCCACGAGGCCTGTCGCTCAGAATATTCAGAAGCTCTGCTGCGGTGGCACTGCTTTCCATCCCTCCCTCTCTTATCTCATCTTCTTGTCGCGCCCTCTCTGCCTGTCACATCAACTACAGGACTTCCCGCTGCTCTTCTTGCAAGGAGGTGCCATACTACCTGCAAGGCCTGTCGCTCAGAAACACTCAGGAGCTCTGCTGGGGAGACTCGGTGGTGCCACTGCTAATCACTCCTCCCTTTCTCCGTGCCCCTGTTACTCCACACCCTCAGGACCTCCCGCTGCTCTTCTTGCAAGGAGGTGCCATACTACCCACGGGTCCTGTCGCTCAAAACACTCAGGAGCTCAGGAGGGAAGATGCGGTCACACTGCTAATCAGCCTCGACGAATCAGGTGAGGACGCGTCATTCAGGCTGTGAGAAAGATGAGCATTTCTTGAGGAAGAATTTTGAGAATTTCTCGCTCGTCGCAATTTCTCAAAGCCAGCGACCACAATTGACCGCATTTCTTGAGGCGCCTCGAAATTATTTCCCCTCCGTTGGTCTGACTCTGACTGACCCACCACCGCCAATCGCCCTTTTGCCACAATTCCTTTTGTTCGTCTTCCTTTTCTCCCTGTATCCTATTTCCTCAGGTGCCAGCGAGGGCCAACTCTTCGAGGATGAGGGGGATGGGTTCGGGTACCGGACAAGGGAGTACGAGCCCCACCCCACCCCACCCCACCCCACCCCTCATCCCCCTCATCACTGGTGGGATGGGTTCGGACAAGGGAGTACAAGCCCCACCCCACCACCAGTGATGGTTGTTGCTTTAATTTTCCAACCAGGCAAACCCCTCGCTTGCTGTCGCTTAAATCCCCTCCTGCAGGGGCCAGCGAGGTCCAACTGTTCGAGGAGGAGGGGGGATGGGTTCGGGGCACCGGGCAGGGGAGTACCTGCTTTCTGCTTGCTCCCTCCATCCCCTATCCACTTGTGTCTTCCCCAACCCTTCTGCTCGACCCCCTTATCCCATGCTTCCAGGTTTCAGTGAGGGCCAACTCTTTGAGGATGAGGGGGATGGGTTTGGGTACAGGGCAGGGGAGTATCTGCTGACCAGTTACGTGGCGACATGTGGCACGGGGGATGGCGGGCTGCCAGTGGTGGAAGTCAAGGTGGCAAAAGAGGAAGGTTCCTGGAAGCGGCCCTGGCGGAAGCTGGTGGCCCGTGTGCTGCTGGGAGATGGTGCCTATGTGAGTTTGTTTGCCCGTTTGTGTAATCGCCTGTTATGTTTCCATCTATTGCAATTCTTTGTTGCTTGAGCGCTGTTTGTATTTGTTTCTTTCATAAACTTTAGAAAGCTTATCAGATCGAATTTCGGAGGAAAAGAAGAACTACCTTTTTTCTGCTTACTGTTTTGCCTCTGCCTGCCAGGTGCAAGCGGAGGGGTGGGATGGCGATGCGATCTCTGTCCCGCTGCCCTCTGCAGTTGAGACAGACAGGCTGGTGGCAGCAGCAGTGGAAGAAGAGAAGGCGCTCATGGGTGGGTGATGGGAGAGGTGTGGAAGGGGGATTTGCCTTCTAGGTGGTGGCGGGGTAAAGGGCACACAGGGTAGCTCCGTTGCTGTCTGTCCCGCTGCCCTCTGCAGTTGAGACAGACAGGCTGGTGGCAGCAGCAGTGGCAGAAGAGAAGGCACTCATGGGTGGGTGGTGGGTGGGGAGGGGGTGGATGTGTGATTCGCCTATGAGCTGGTGGAGGGGTAAGGAGCACAAAGGGTAGATTGAGACATATTGAGGCGCACAAGAGACTGAACGCTGCCCTGCCACGACCCGCACAAAACTGCCCTCACAGGCGCAGATTTAGACGTTTGAGGAAGCTGAGGGGTGGGACGGCGATGTGATGTCTGTGTCACTGCCCTCTGCTTGTCAATCTGACAGGCTGGTGGCTGCAGCAGGGCACGAAGAGATGGCCCTCATGGGTGTGTGATGGGAGTTATGGGATGTGATCTTGGTGGGTTGATGATTGGGTAGTGGAGGGGGCAAGGGCAATGGGTAGGTCGCTGCCCGTTGCTGCCCTCTCTGCTATGGAAGAGAAGAGGCTTCTTATGAGTGGAAATGGGAGGGGGAAGGTTGGTCTAATATGGTGGCCTTCCTGCTGCCTTAAGTACTTCTCAACATACTGCCAGACGGGGCAAAGGTGGATGGGGAAGATGAGTTTTGATCTTTCTCAGACAGTTACCAATTCTCTTTCCCTTCACTGCTCTCTTTCACTTGCAGAAGCGGCTCCCATACTACCAGACGGTGCGAAGGAGGATGAGGAGGAGGGAGGAGGCGAGGCACTGGCAGCAACGAACATGGCAGCTGGCGACCTGCAGTGCCACGTGGTGCTCAAACATGGAGGGAGACTTGACTCGCTCTTCCACTACCCCTCAGGTAGGCGTAGGGAGGGTGGTGGTGGGGAACAAGGGACAACTCGGTGAGTATGGATGCGGGAGGAGGGAGGAGGCGAGGCACTGGCAGCAACGAACATGGCTGCAGGAGACCTGCAATGCCACGTGGTGCTGAAGCATGGAGGCCGACTTGACTCGCTCTTCCACTACCCCTCAGGTGGGCGTAGGGTGGTGGTGGTGGGGAAGAAGGGACGATTCGGTGAGTATGGATGAGGGGAGTGGCGAGGCATTGGGAGCAACGAACATGGCAGCGGGTGACCTGCAGTGCCACGTGGTGCTCAAACACGGGGGGAGACTTGACTCGCTCTTCCACTACCCCTCAGGTGGGTAGTTGGGTGGTGTGGCACACATGCAACGGATGGGGTGCAGTGAAGGGCAGTGCAGCGGGTAATCTGCAGTGCCACGTGGTGCTGAAACATGGAGGCCGGCTGGACTCGCTCTTCCACTACCCCTCAGGTGGGCTGGTTTGGCACACAGGGAATTAGGGAAGGGAGGAGAATGGGAACTAGCAGCACGATGTGAGGAATGAGGGGACTGGCAGCACGATGTGAGGAATGAGGGGACTGGCAGCACGATGTGAGGAATGAGGGGACTGGCAGCGAAGAGCATGGCAGCAACGGGTGACCTGCAGTGCCACGTGCTGCTCAAACCTGGAGGGGCGGCTCGACTCGCTCGTCCTCCACTACCCCTCAGGTGGGTGGGTGGGTGGGCAGGTCGCACAGAGAGGGAATTAAGGAAGGGAGGAGAGTGGGAACTAACAGTACGAGGGGAGGAGGCGAGGCACTGGCAGCAACGAACATGGCAGCGGGTGACCTGCAGTGCCACGTGGTGCTCAAACACGGGGGGAGACTTGACTCGCTCTTCCACTACCCCTCAGGTGGGCTCGGGTGGAAATAAAGGATGGAAGGGAGGGTGGGAGGGAGGGATGGCGAAGCGGGAGAGGGAGGTGGGTCGGGTTTGGGGTTAATGGTTCAGGAGCTGCTGGAGTCTCGCTTTGAGGAGGGTGCGTACGAGGAGTATTCAGGGAGCGAGTCAGATCAGTTGATGTTACTTTTGGGAATTCTCAAAGTAACATCAGCGTGGGTGCGTACGAGGAGTATTAGACCGTGATACACTTCCCCCTTTTCAGAGAGCGAGTCAGATGTGCTCAGTAGCAAACGTGCAAAGGTATCTAGGTACCACTTTTGAGACATCTTATATACCGTGATACACCGCCCCCTTTTCAGGCCAGGAGCTGCTGGAGTCTCGCTTTGAGGAGGGTGGGTACGAGGAGTATTCAGAGAGCATCGGAGCAAGTCAGATTAACTCATCCGCACCCGTGCCCAACCCTCCACGCCCATGCCCTGTCCCTCTCCTCTCGCAGGCCAGGAGCTGCTGGCGTCAAGTTTCGAGGAGGGTGGATATAAGAATTCAGAGAGCGAGTCAAATCAACTCGCATGCAACCGTGCTCGACCGCTCTTGAGACGCCTCATAAACCTTGATACCTCTTCCTTTGCAGGGCAGGAGCTGCTGGAGTCGCGCTTCGAGGAGGGTGGGTATGAGGAGTATTCAGAGAGCGAGTACCGATCGCCAGGCTGCCAGGAGCAATACCACGTGGTGTGGTGAGTGTGGGGAGGTATGAGTAGGGGGGGGGAGGGGTGAATACTTTTTTTCTACATGTAATCTGCGTGATACTCGTAATTCCCTGCGCCCGCTTGCAGTAAGTGAGCAGAGGGATCACGGCATGGGCGGCAACCACCGCTTAGTAGTGGGAGTTAAGGGAGTAAAGGGAGTATTTTGGGTGACATTGGCAGTAGTGGGTTACACTCACCATGCTTCCACTACTCCTTCCCTGCACGCACGATGCCTCGTCTCGGTTCACCATGCCCTGTATCAGATCAGATCACGGGGGGCAGTGGCCGCATGATCGTTGGGGAAAGATCGGCAGCAGCAGGCTGGGCTCATCATGCGCCGCTGCTTCTTGAGTCGACTCATGAGTCGACTCAAAAGTCAAATCGGCAGCAGCAGGCTGGGCTCAACATGCGCCGCTGCTTCTCCCTTCTCCCATTTCACTCTGTAAATGCTCTTCGCCCCTTCGGATACTCCTGATTACCTGCTTGCAGTGAGCAGAGGGATCACAGCACGGGCGGTAGTCACCGCATGATCGTTCAGGGGGGCATCGGCAGCGGGCTCATCATGCGCCGCTGCTTCTCCCTCGGCCAACCCATCCCCACCGCCTGGGCTGCTGCCACCACTACCGCTGCTGATGCTGCCCAATGCTTCTCCCTTCTCCCTAATGCTCTCTGCCCCTTTTTCACTGTGTAATACCGCTTGCCCCTCGCAGTGAGCAGAGGGATCACAGCACGGGCGGCAGTCATCGCATGATTGTGCAGGGAGACATCGGCAGTGGACTCATCATGCGGCGCTGCTTCTCCCTCGGCCAACCCATCCCCGCCGCCTGGGCTGCTGCCACCACCACTGCTAATGCCGATGCCAAGTCCCTGACCCTCAGTCAGGAGCAACAGGCCTCCTCTTTGAGTGCCGGGCTGGATGCGGCAATGGTGGATGGGCCGACGATGATGGATGGACCACCATCGGTTGATGCAGCTGATGATGCCACGTCAGCACTTCCGTCAACGCCCAATCAGCTGCATGTGACGACAGCGATCATAGCTGCAGCTATTGGTGCAGGATCGGGCGGCTTCTCGCGGTAAATGCTCCTATCATAGCTCATGCACCCGTGCAGTTGCTAAACCTCACCACCACCCCATATCCCACTCTCGCCCGCCTGCACGTGCACCCCTCCTTTCATGTCATACAGCTTCTCTTCTCCTCCGCCGTTTGTTTGAATTCTCAAAAGCAACTTCTTCGGCTTCACATGCACTTCTCTTCTACGAGGTGACTTTTGAGTCGACTCAAAAGTCACTTCGGCTTCACATGCACTTCTCTTCTGCTTCTCACACTTCGTCTCGCTCTCAACTCCTCGCATCCTTTCCCTCTTCACCCCATGTCCCAACCTCGCCTGTCTGCGTGTGCATCCCTCCTTTTCGAGTGGTCCACTCCTCCTCTGCACCTCCCCTCACTCGCCTCTCTCTTCTCTCTTCCCCCCTCTCCAACCTCTGACATAATTCCAGTGAGCAGCAGTGCCTAGGTTTAGGCTTAAGCAAGTAGGAAAAACAGTGAAACTCTTAACACTAGCTAATAGCCGAGAGTCTGTGAAACCGGAACTCCTCCGCACCTCCCCTCACTCGCCTCTCTCTTCTCTCTTCCCCCCTCTCCAACCCCTCCACCCCACACCCTTCTGCTCCCGCTCTTCCATATCTCAGCCTCGCCTGCCTGCGTGTGCACCCCTCCTTCCGAGTCGTCCACTCCTTCTCCTCCGCCGCTCCCCACGTGCGCTTCACATCCATCAAAGGCACGGAGGAGGTGGTGAAGCCAGACGTGCAGGAGCTCTGGCTGAGAGGCGACGACAGACCCAATGGTGAGTGGGTTTGGCTGTTGCTTCCCCTCACTCTCCTCGCTTCACATCCATCAAAGGAACCGAGGTTCTGGTCAAGCCAGACGTGCAGGAGCTCTGGCTGAGAGGCGACGACAGACCCAATGGTGAGTGGGTTTGCATTGGCGTTGCTTTCAGAGGACCTTTGTTCTGCACCTTGCATCTCAGCACAGTTCGTGTGCTTCACTAGGTCAACTCACAGACTTTCTATTCTGCGCATCCTTTGTACCTACAGGAGAATGGTCGTTGGTGGACCCAGGCACAGGTTGCTCTGTGGTCAAACGATCCAACCGGAGTGAACTGATCAGCCTGAGCCAACGACTTCAATTTGAATCACAAACTCTCCGCTTTATCTCACCTTCTGAATTATAGGAGAGTGGTCCTTGGTGGATCCGGGTACTTGGCCGCACTGTGGTCAACTTATTCAACACGAGTCAAGTGATCAAACTGGAGTCATAAACTTTTCTTTTTTTACTCCCCCTTTGTAACAACAGGAGAATGGTCCTTGGTGGATCCAGGCACAGGCCGTACTGTGGTCAACCGATTCAACCCGAGTCAAGTGCAGGCGTGCTTCGTGTATTGGGGCAGTGGGTTCTGCAACCTGGAGCTGGTTTCAGAGGAGAGGCCGGTGTCGGTTGAAACGCCCCTCATTGTCAACCACTCATACAGCATTGAGACAGTGGCAGAGTGATGCAGTCAACAAAGTCAACACGAGTCAAATGCAGGCGTGCTTTGTCTACTGGGCCAGTGGGTTCTGCAACCTGGAGCTGGTTTCAGAAGAAAGGCCTCTCGGTTGAAATGCCACTCAGGATTGATCACGCATCAGGCCTCTTGATAAAAGGGTGAATCACTCTTATGACCCTTACTATATAAGGGTGTCTTCTGATTCGGACCCTTCACAAAGTGGATTTTTTTCTGACACTTGCAGAAAAATGTGAATATGTTGAGGACCCTGATATTTCAGAGTGAAGTGGTGTAGTCGCACTGATTGGGAACATACATCCTCCTCAAAAAGTAGAGAATTAGCTCCAAGAACTGAGTCCCATGGATAACAATGCCCACCAAATGCCTCCCACAATTATCGATCCTACGTCCCTTTCACCACAGGACCCACTGTGCTAAGTTCTCACGCCCGCTAGTTATTTTTTATTAAAAAAAAAATACAGTTTGGTTTAAACCCTTACAAAAAAGAGTGGTGCTTGCTTGGTACCCTTACAGAAAGAGTGAAAGCAGCTGGTTACCCTTATGAGAAAGACTGTTTCAAATCCTATCCAGAGTCCTGTCACGCGTACATCATGGAGACAGTGGCCGGATTATCTGGTCAAGAAGTCAACCAGGTTTACTTCATATACTGGGCATGTGGGTTATGTCAACAGGGCATATGCATATAGAGCATCCATACACCTTTATTCCTTCAGAATTGACTGGAGGCACACCTTTTCTTGTTTGCTCAGCATTGTTAAATTAAGAATGTTAACAAACTACAACTCCACAATCACTACCGATTTCAGCCGTGATTTGTCAGCATATACTTCATAGCGAAGCGCCCTCGCTTGCGCGGCGGCCGTGCGAAAGTATTGACTCAAATGAGAGGTTTGTATGCAGGCAGGTCCAAGCTGGCGAATTCATAACTGGCGGAACATCACTCGGCAGGACTTCGCCGAGCTGTGCTGGGCGACGCCAACAGCTGCGCGAATTGCGATGTGCAACTGTTTTATCGCTGACGAATTCCATGTGGTAGAAAGTTACTCGGCAGGAACTCGCTGAAGCTTTCTTCTCACGCCGTGCTGGCGGTCGCGAACAGCTGCGGAAAGTGTGGAGTCCGCTTGACTAGGAAGGATGACTACTAGCGAATTCTTGTTTGATTTCGCGAACTGCCAACGAGGAATGCTGGTTCTTTTATCTCCTTCCTCGCCAGCCCCTTTCAGAGTTAGAGAGTACCCTTCCACTCTCGACAATTCCTTACAGTATACATAAACCGCCATATCAGGTAGGCGCAACGACCATATCTCGTAAGCTTCAAGTTCATAGAGCGCATTTGTACATACACCTCGCCTCGCAATTTTTACTGCTGGACCAATCCGTTTTCTATATACATATAGAATGCCCCCGGGGTAGTTCACTATTTTTTTCTTTGTAATAACTCCACTTGAATACGAACGGAAGTAACTTCTTTCATTTCTTGGCGACAGTACAGACATGGCGCGTTTGCAATTGAAACTGACCGTTATTGCGGGTGTAATACTCATCATCCTCGTGTCTCTGACCACCGCTAAAAGAACGTCGAAAGGCCTCCGTCCTTCGCGCCGTTTCTTGCGGGAGAGCCGGCTTCCTCTAGGCGCGCGAACACATGGTAACCGTCGCCAGCTGCAAGAATCCTTGTATGATAACGGCGATTGGTCTGGTGACAGTGGAGGCTTTTCGAACTATTGGAGCGACTGGTTAAACGACGGTGGCGACTGGTCTAGTAATTTGCCCGAGGACTGGTCGAGCTGGTTAAACAACGGTGGCGATTTGTCTAATTTGCCCGACGACTGGTCGAGCTGGTTAAACAACGGTGGCGATCTGTCTAATCTGCCCGACGACTGGTCGAGCTGGTTAAACAACGGTGGCGATTTGTCTAATCTGCCCGAAGACTGGTCGAGCTGGTTAAACAACGGTGGCGATTGGTCTAATATGCCCGATGATTGGTGGAGCGATTGGGGTGGCGACACCGGCGGTGGCTGGGACGACGGTAGCTCTGACGGCGGCGGTTGGGACGACGGTAGCTCTGACGGCGGCGGTAGCTCTGACGGCGGCGGTTGGGACTACGGTAGCTCTGACGGCGGCGGTATTTCTGATGGCGGTGGCTGGGACGACGGTAATTCCAACGGCGGCGGTACTTCTGACGGCGGCGGTTGGGACGACGGTAGCTCTGACGGCGGCGGTAGTTCTGACGGCGGAGGTAGCTGGGACTATGGGGGAAGCTCTGGCGAAGGCGGCGACAGCGGGGGGACGGCGGAAGCGGCGGAAGTGACGGGAGTAGCGGCAGCGGCGGAAACGGCGGAAACGGTGGGGGCGGGGGCACAGTAGACGCGGGGGCGATGCTGGAGGGACACAACGCTGCGCGCGCAGAGCTGGGCCTCCCCGGGCTGGGCTGGGACGCGAATCTGGCGGCCTCCGCGCAGGCATGGGCGGACAACCTGGCTTCGCGTGGATGTCCCATGGAGCACGGGGGACACGATAACATGGGGCAGAACTTATACTGGAAGAGGCCTGCTGCTTTTAACGCGGATGAGGACCGTGGTGCAGTGAAAAGCTGGGTGGATGAGAAGCAGTATTGGACGTATAGTGCGATTCCGGGGGGGTGTGTGGAGGGACAGCAGTGCTTGCACTATACGCAGATTGTTTGGGAGGATACTAAGAATGTGGGATGCGCTGCGGCTCAATGCAGTGACGGGGCCGGGATGTGGGTGTGCCATTACTATCCACAGGGGAACTGGCAGGGGGAGTACCCATATACTACCTAACAGGACCCAACTGAACTGCACTGGACCTGACTGGACCACTGTCTGCCCTGCTGGAAGTATGGAGACCGTTCTCAAGAAGACTTATGATCGGAAGGAAGTGCAGTGCACCCCTCGTCCGAGCACGATGCACTTTGGGTTTTACCGCGGGTGGGAGGAGGAAGTGCAGAGTGAGCTGGTGCAGTTCTTGGCGGTGCATTTTATGCATCGGAAGAAGTTTTTGAGTACCAAAATTTCCGCCTGGAGAAGTTGTGGGGTAGTGATGTGCGTGGATCGTGCATGTGGGATTTGTGATCCGCATATTTGGCATTTGGCTGTGTGTGAGCAATATCTACCGTATGTGGTGCAGGAATCGTGTTTATGGTAGTACAAGGAACCAACCAAAGCCATCTCTTTCAATTCAACCAAGCCAAGGCTAGGGGGATGTTCCTAAAACCCCAGACAAGCTGCACCCCTTTAGATTGTCCAAGCTACGAGCATGTGAGATGAGATAACTAACAAGTGTGCGAACAAGCTGTAGCACAAAAAACGAGGGGGCAAAAAACACATAACGGTACATACTTCAATCCCATCTTCCATCTCAGCGTACATCCTCAGAACCATTCAGTACATTCTTCCATTCCAATACCCAACTTCCAACTTACCACTCCGCATCTAATTTCTCCTAGTAGACGCAAAACGCATCCCATCCTCCCTCGTCGTCCATGCCATTGTCAGTGTTAAAGCCATACGGATGCTCAATGTCATCATCCTCCCTACCACTCTCCTCCTCTTCCTCCGATGCCTCCTCCTCTTTCCACCACCGCATCGTCTCCCTCCCCCTCCTCCTCTTCCACATCCCCTCCCACTCCTGCTGATCCCCTTTCTCACCCTCTTCCTCGTCCGCATCCCCTCCCTCCCTTTCTTCCCCTTCCGAATCCCATTCCCCCCTTTCTTCCCCTTCCGAATCCCATCCCCCCCTTTCTTCCACTTCCGAATCCCATTCCCCCCTTCCCCTTCCGAATCCCATCCCCCCCTTTCTTCCCCTTCCGAATCCCATCCCCCCCTTTCTTCCCCTTCCGAATCCCATCCCCCCCTTTCTTCCACTTCCGAATCCCATCCTCCCCCTTCTTCCCCTTCCGAATCCCCTCCCTCCCCCTCCTCCTCCACCTCCTCCCCCTCTCTCTTCTCCCAATCCACCCCAACCCTATAAACCCCCCTCCTGTCTCGTTGGATGAGCAACAGGCACCTGCTGCTGCTGCACGAACGCAGTATCGCCATCTTCCGGAGAAAGGACGGCAGCCGAGTCAGCTGCTTGCACGCTTACACGCCCTGCAGTTCAAGCTTAGGCAGCTGGGCAAACGAATCCGGCAAGCCTCGCAACTGCTTCAGTTCTGCCATCTAACTCATCATCACTCTCTACCCAGCCTCTGCCACAGCCCATCTCATAGTCACTGTCCATGGCATACTCATGCTCAATATCATTATCTTCACCCCCACTCTCCTCGTCCTCTGGTGCCTCCCCATCTGCCTCTTCCCTTTCCCCAGCCACATCGCCTCCCTCCTCCCCCTCTTCCTCTTCTGCGTCCCCTCCCTCCTCTTCCTCCTCCCCCTCCCCCTCCTCTCCCTCCTCTCTCCTTGCAGGAATCCCTCTGGTGTTGCGACGGGAGAGCAGGGGGCATTCACTGATGTCGCACTCACGCAATGTTGGCATATTCCGGAGAGAGGTGGGCAGCCGAGTCAGCTTCTTGCATATGATCACCTCCAGCTTCTCAAGCTTAGGCAGCCGTGTGAACGAATCTGGCAAGCTTTGCAAGTGCTTCAGTCCCAGAATCAACAACTTTTGGAGCGAAGACAGCTTCGAGATGTCATCAGGAATGCTTGGGATTCCAAGCATGATAAGAGCAGGATCGTAGCTTGGGTAGATTCACGAACGACTTTGGAAGCTGCATCAGCTTGTAGCAATCGATAATATCCAGCGTCTCGAGCATTTTCAGCTGCCCGAGAGACTCGGGCAGCTGCTGCATTGAGATGAGGTCAAGCAGCTGCAAGACACGCAGCCCTGCAAGCCTCCCAAGGGTCTCGGGCAGTGCTTTCAGATGGTAGGTCGTATCAATCTTGAGCCTTTGCAGCTGCGAGAGTTGGGAGATGCAGTCAGGGAGAAGGTCAAGTTTATACATCTCCAGGAGCTTCAACTGCGTCAGAGAGGACAGCCGACCAAGGGATGGACCAAAAGACTCCACATTAAGCGCTTTCATCTTGAGGCTCAGAACGGAAGGAAGCAGAGGGCGGCTGCTGCTCCTGCTGCCGGTGCTGGTCACAAAGCCCCTGGCAGTGCGTCTAAGCACCGTCTCATCGCCTAACACCCCGCTTAGCGAACAACATGCCCGCACGTCCAACGATCGGAGACTGGGCAGCTCAAGGAGCGCCGGAGGGAGACATATCAGGCCGCCCATCCCAACGATCCTGACCTCCTCGAGCGCCGCCAGCCGTCCGATTCCCTCTGGCAGGACCGTTATTTTAGGGCAGTTTCCTAGTTCCAGACTGGTGAGGGAATCAACGCCAGAGAATGAAGCAGGGAAGGGAGGATAAGCGTGGCATAGACTCAAGCGACAGCTCCTAGAGGCTCTTCAGGTAGCCAAAGCCGTCCAGCAGCGCGCCCCTGAAGCGTTTCGCGTCTACAATCTTCAGCGTTTCAAGAGATGTCAGGGCGGAGAAGGATGGTGGGAGGTGGGTGAGAGCCGTGCACTCTAGCAGATGCAGGTGGCGCAAGGAGCGGAGACCTTTACCCATGTCGTCTGGCAGCACAGTGAGGCACGGACAGTCGTTAAACTCCAGGTGCTCGAGAGAAGACAGCTGGGACAGGGAGTCGGGAAGTTGCTGCAGCTGCCTACACTCCAACAATTTCAGCTCCCGAAGCGATATTAACTGCCCGAATGTTTCGGGCAGGTGCGTGAGCTGTCGGAGGTCTTTCAAATACAGCTTCTCTAAAAGCACCAGCTGACCAAACTCCTGCGGCAGATGCGTCAGATTCAAAAGATGATCGAGGGAAAGCTCTTGAAGAGTGGTAACCAGGGCGATGGAATCAGGTAAGGCTGCGAGTCTTCGCAGATTTAGCACGAGTTTCCGAAGCGTAGACAACTGCCCGAAATCTTCAGGCAGCACTGAAATTTCTCCCATGTCAAGGGCGAGTTCGGTGAGTGCGGGCAGGCGGGGAAGGGACACGGGCAGAGTCGTGATGTCACTGCAGCCGTTGATCAATAGAGTCTTCAGTCGTTGCAAATGCTCCAGATCCGCAACCAAGTCGCGCATTCCCCTCACTTCAACCAAGATGATAGTTTCAAGTGCCCCCAATTGACCAAAATCGACCGGCGACGGAGGAAGAATACTGCATCGTCGACACTCCAGGACGGCGAGAGAAGAGAGCTCGGTGAAAGAGTCCGGCAGCTGCAACGCCTTGGAATGATGCAAGGAAAGGCGGTTCAGAGCGGTAAGCTGCCCGAAAGAGTCTGGAAGTGACGCCAAGTTGCAACCATTCAGCTCCAGCGACGTCAAAGAAGCCAGATTTCCGAAATTTTGAGACAAAGCTTCGAGCTTATAAGTGTTCAGCACGATGCTTTTGAGAGACTGCAGCGAGGTCAGTGTGTCGGGAAGACGCGTGACTCTTGCCACGAGGTGCAGATGCTTGAGGAAAGTAAGTCGGTCGATTGACGTGGGAATGGCAGCACTATCAGAACAATGCACACGGAGATCTTCCAGCCGCGTACACCCCTCGAACAGCGCAGCGAGGCTCATCTCGGTTACATCTTCGCGACTACACCAACGTGACATCGATAGGACATGAAGCTGGGTCAAACGGTGACACGTGCTGGCGAGGTGAGAGAATAAAAATTTAGAGGTTGAGGTGAGGCTGCAGGAGGAAAGGATGAGCTTTTCGAGATTCGGGAACGAGGACAGAAGCTCAACAAGCCGACGCGGATCCATACGGAGGTCATGGGGCAAACAGAGCTCGTATTGCACGCGGCACGCGATCCGATGCCATTGCTTGCTAACGAGTGCATGCTCCGGCAGGCCATCAGGTCGAACAAGAACCCAAAGGATCCGAGAAAGAAGCTCCTCAGGTAGCCGCTGGATCGGCGATCCGACTGGCATTGTAAAAGGAGGAGAAAGACAGGAATTGATGGCTCTTCACCGCGTTAAGTCTGCTTCTAATTAGGAAACGTGGCTTCTACAATCGTTTTCTAGCAAGGTCCGTCAGACAAAAAGAGTCTCGGGAGGATCAGTTTCACGTAGGATCAATGAATACATTTCTCTCACGAAGTAAGGGTGCGTAACCATTTTGCACCCGACGGTTCGAACCGTGGACCGTCCGGGTGCGAAACGGTAACAAACTTCGCACAATGTCGTCATCATGTTCGCTAAGGTGTTGGCGCCATCGCCAACAAAACGGACTGTAGTGACACTTTTTCCTACTTCAACGGTCCGAAATCTGAACCGTAGACGGTCCGCATCCCAAACGGACTGTCCGACAGTCCTTGCACACGATTGGAGGGCGACGCAAAAACTGTCGAGTCACCTCGTCGACCAACAAAAACGTACGAAGCTACTTCACGAATCGACATTGACCAACAAGTGACAACCCGTAAACAAAAATGATTCGATAACGACATTCGTGAGCTTGAGAGAATTGCGTAACGCTTGTACAGTGATCGCGAAACTGTACATTATGAAAAAAGTGTCACAACTGTCTTCGGACAGTCCAAAGTTGCAGAAAAGTCAGTCGGACGGTCCCGTTCTCGATAGGTGGACCGTCCACTTCGTTTTAAGCGGACTGTCCGTCAAAATCGTAAAACGCAAAATGGTTACGCGCCCTAAGCATTGGGCTTGTTCGTGGCACCGTACTCAACCGCTCGTTTATCTCGAGCCATTCCCGCCAGATACTCCCGCGTTACATCATACTTGCGAAAAGGACGGGCGATACAGGCACCCAACGACGAACCCGTATATCGACTCTGCGAGGAACACGCACCGTGCATTTCGCGATTCCGAAATGGGATGTGCTGGTGGCTGATGTGGTAGTGCCCCGTTCCCGCCAAAAAAGTGATGGCAGCGTACTCGTTAATGGGTGGAAATTCACTCTCGTCAGTGAGAGCATCTTACCAAAAATGAGTTGTTATTCTAGAATACTTGTAAGGAAAATTCCTTTTCCTTACTTCGCGTCCCCGCTAAGCGCGTACACCACTGTAGCACCACAGTCAGCACCGTTACCACTCGCAACCCTCGCATCGATAATCCTCCCGCCACCTTCGCACGTCGCACCCCGACCTCACGGCTCGGCGAGTAACCCGCGCTCCGGGCCTCCGCTTCGACATTTTCCCCAACCTCAGTCCCAGGCCCGTCACGCGACAACCACAGTCCATTACCGTTACCACTGTAGTTTCGCTATATATTCTTCGCTCATGCCTTCGCTCATTGTACTCTTGCTTCGATAGTGCAATCCTCGTTCGCTCACTCAATTGCACTCGTAACACTTGATATTTGTTGGGCTGAGAATTTCAGCCTTAGGATCTTTGCAGAGAATAGGCTAGTAGGTGCTAGAGTAGCACAGCGGAAGTCTTGAGTGAATGTACTTGTGCTGGTATGTGAGAACAAGTAATTGATTAAAGCAAAGGGCATACAGGAATATATAGAAAGGATAGATTACAAGAAGCGGTTATGTTTATCGAGACGCGTAACGCTTCGACTGTCGAGGTGGTTACTGTTCACTGAAGCGTCGCTTGCTGTTACGTAACCTCCAGGCGGTTACAGCTCGCAACCCCCAGTTGCGGTTTGATGTGGTACGCGCCTTTTCGACTTCGTACTCCTTTTGTTGTGCTTCAGTATCGGGTGAGGTTCGATACTAAAGAAACGCACTAAGGCATGCGTTTATTTTCCCAACACTCCCCCTCGTTTCTGGAGTGTCGACGTGGTCAGCTTCGGTGACGTGGTCCAATCCGGTGAGCAGCATGCAGTACTCGAATTTCCCCTTTGGTAGCTTCTTTGTGAGATAATCTGCTGCCATCTCGGTGGTCGGACAGTAATCCAGCTGGAGTTTTCCTTTCTCAATTTCGTCTTTCACGAAGAAGTATCGCAGTGCGATATGCTTGGTTCTGTTGGCGAAGACATTCTTGTTCGCGATCCGTATCGCGGACTGGTTGTCGCAGAATAGCGAGAAGCTGGGTACTTTCGCAATTTTCGCTTCTTCCAGCAGTTCGCGCATGTATAGGCCCTCCTTGGTAGCAGTGCAGAGAGCAATATACTCTGCTTCAGCAGATGATAGTGCGACGAGTTCCTGCTTACTTGATTGCCAGGAGATAGTTCCGACGGGCTCAAGACGGTAGATGTAGCCGGTGCGAGAGCGACGATCGACACGATCAGCAGCATGATCAGCGTCGACGTAGCCGAGTAGTTTTAGGTCGGTCGTCGTGTTCTTGTGATATGTTAAGCCAACTGTTGGCGTCGAGATGAAGTAGAGAAGGGCGCGGTTGAGTTCCTTGAGGTGACGTTGTTCTGGGCGCTTGAGGTAGGTCGCTAGTTGACTGGCGCTGTAGGATAAGTCCGGTCGGCACGTAACGGCGGCAAAGAGTAGGCAGCCCAGTTTCTATTGATATTCCTGGATTTCAGCAAGCGGCAGTGGGTTGGTTTCTTCGGTTGGATCGAGCGATAGGTGACTGT